CGATATGTGGTAATGGATAGCTATCTTTTGGACATGCGGTGTTGAGGTCGGAGAAGTCAATGCAAAGGCGCCATGTCCCATTACTTTTCTTTACCAAAACAGGATTGGACACCCAAGTCGGGTATTTGGCCTCTTTGATGAATTTGTTATCGATGAGCTTGTTGACTTCTTCCTCTAGGGCCTGTTGTCGGTCTGGACCGAGTTTCCTTCTTTTCTGGATGACAGGTTTGATGGTGTGATCAATGTTGAGTCGATGACAGGCTACCTTTGGATCTATTCCTTTCATGTCTTCGTGTTTCCAAGCAAAGACGTCGGCATTGGACTTTAGAAACGAGATGAGTTTGGTTCGAACAGGTTCTTGGAGATTGGCCCCAATACGCAGTGGCTTATCGCAGATGGGTTCATCAACATAGATGATCTCTATCTCCTCAGATGGTTCAGCTCTTTTTTCTTGTTTCTTCTCTTTAAATTGACTTCGTGGGTCTAGCTCGTCTTCTTCCATGACGGGCTCTTTTCCTGGTCTTCTTCCTCTATCTCGGGTAAGGTCTTCCTCATTGGGATTCGAAGTCGGGACTATTGACGTCGGCTGAACTTCTGTTAGCGTTGTAATAGCTTCGGATGGGTCGGAAGTCGGAAATGCCGATGTCAACTGGATCTCCGATTGAGTCGTGGCGATCCTGAGATCGACATCTGGGGTGTCTTCAGGACTTAGACTTTGTGGAACTCGGGTACAGTCGATCCTTCTTTCGTTCTCATCAACATGCATCTCCAAATTATGGATCTCTCGAGAAGGGATGGCTAAGATTAGCTCACGGGCTCCCAACTGATCACCATAATGGGTCCCTTCACCATCAGCGGTGGGAAACTTGATCGAATAATGGAAAATGGACACTGCTGCTCGCAACTTGTACAGGGCTGTCCTTCCGATGATGGCGTTGTATTCATTATTGATGTCCATGATTTTGAAATTTTCCATGATAACCTTGGAAGTCTGCCCATATCCGAACCTGATAGGGAGAGTTATCTCACCTAACGGATGGGACACGCTTCCGTTGAATCCGTGTATTTTATCGTTGCTTGGGCGGACGTCGGCTGTATCAAGTCCGAGTTTCCTGAAGGCTTGAAGCATAATGATACTTGAATATGCACCGGTGTCCACCATTATGCGATGAACGGGAATCCCGCAAACTGGGGCGGTTATGATTAATGCATCTGAATGGGGATGATCAAACAAACTCGCGTCTTCTAATGTGAAAGTGATCGGACACGTGCGCGAGTTGATTGTTTCCCGAAGATCGGTATTCATTATTTGTTTCCCCGAGTTGTATGCCTTCCTGGCGTATGCTTTGGCCTGCCGACGTGAGGACGTTGGCTCTTCTCGGTTAGTGTTAACTCGGGGGACAGAGCCTAACCGAATTGGGATTTGGGAAGGGCGGTTAGAGTTGGGGCTATCGCAGTCCCTGTTTCTTTTTCCAAGTCGGTCATCAACCGACCTGGATCCTCCTGCCCCAATCATGAATATTTCCTTCTCCCCCTGTTGTAGACGGATTCTTTTGGGATTTATCGCGTCTTCGTCTTCTTCATCTCGGTCAGGAACATGAGCGATTTGCCTCCTTTCTTTAACTTCATGTTTGGTAAATTTTCTCACTTGTGGATTTCCAATCAACTTTAGAAGGGCCGATAACAGACTCAGACACTCATCGGTATTGTGGCCTGGGGATCGGTGGTAGTCACAATACCGCGACTTGTCCAATTGACTCTCAGGAGTCTTGACTGGTCTAGCTTCAGGAAGGATTCCTTTTCCTTTGATCTCTTGGTACACCGTTGCGGCCCCGACCGAGTAGATGGATCGATAACCCGTGGTTAGATCTTCCTTGTATTGTCTCCTGGCAGCTTTTACATCGGTATCGTTCTGTTCTCCTTTATACGATTCTTTGGGTGGTGAATTCTTAGACGAGTTACCGAGGTATTTCTTTTTCTTATTTTCAGAAGTTGGTTTCTGCTCTTTTGATGAAGAGAATTCAAAGTTGGGAACCGACATGGATTCTTCGGCAATAACATGTTGTTGAGCGCGAACAAGGAACTCTTGAAAGGTGTTGGGTTTGTTCTGACACAACGCCCAGCGGAACATGGATCTTGGCTTTAATCCAGAGATCGCTGAGACAAGGAGTGTCTCAGGATGACAAGGTTCCATGTTTTGCACGCGTTCATTAAACCGTGCAATATAGTCCTTTAGACTTTCATCCTCCTTTTGGACTATGTTCGTAATCGATTCCTTAGGTATCAAGCTAATTTGAGCCCCGATGAAGTGGGACCTAAAAGCCGACCTGAGTTGACCCCAACATCTGATCGATTCAGTCGGTAGCGAATAGTACCACTTCTGAGCTTTGGGACCTAAGGTCAAGGAAAACATACGGCATCGTAAAGCATCGTCAGCACCATGCAGGTCCATCCATGACGTGTAATGTCCGAGATGGGCATCAGGATCCGCGTTTCCGTCGTAGAGACCAATTTGGGGGACTTTGACTTTTCCCGGTAACGGCCCTCTAGTTAACTCGGTTGCTAGAGGAGAACCGACTTCCATGTAAACATGGCTCGATTCTGGCACATGAGGATGCTGATAAGGCCTGATTTGAGCGTTTTGCTGGGCTTCCAGCTCTGCCACCTTTCTTCTTAACGCCTCGACTTCGGAAGCGTTACGTCGAGCGGAACGATTACGCTCAATTTGCGTTCTCAGGTCAGCCGGGTTTTCGTTTGGTCGGAATAATGAACGTGCCGCACGGGGAACTCTGGGCATATGCTGAGGGTAACTTTCAGCTTGTCGAGGGTTACTTTCAGCAACCATTTCTGATTGATTCGCTGCTGGTTGGTTCATTTCCGCCGGCGGTATGTTGTTCACCGGCGGAGGGGGCGGATTGCGTGGCTGCGAAGTAGCATGGGACGCCACTGGGTTGTTGTTATCCCTTGGCAGGGGAGGACCTTGTTGTCTCGCCGGAGTTATGGGAGCAAAAGGTTGTCCTGGTGCTCTATTTGATGGCCCCGGCATGGTTTGGGCCACTAAAGCGTTGAGTCCACGAGCAAATTCAGGATTTTGCATGAGCAAGGTAATGTCCGGCATGACAGGTACTGGGTTGTGTTGACCGGTAGGTGGTTCAACAACACGAACAACGCTTCCCATGGTGGTTGGATTGTCTTGTCCGGACTGTGACATTCTCGATTTTGTGAGATGTGGTGTGTTTATATCGAAAATTAACTCCAAATATCTTATGGAGCCCTTCCTCTAGCGCCAAAATGTTGATAAACGGATTAAATCAACGTTAATAACATAAATTTCCCACAAAAGATGGTAGAAAATGAGAATTTTATTGAATATTATGAAGTCGGTTTCAGTACAAAGAGGTCGGTCTTTCAGTATACTTCAAGTCGGTTTACAATGAAATATCCGAGGTGAATATATGAGTGTGTATGATCTTTTTTCGAACCCTTCTCTCGTCTTTGGAGCTGCTATTTATAGGTATGTCTGGCACACATCCCTAGACAAATCATTCCCGTTTTAATTAGGATTTGACATTTTAGGGGCGGCGATGACGTAAAGGAATTTTGTAGGCAATGATTAGTATGGGCGCGCCTCTATCTGTGTGACGAGTGTCACATCTGTCGGAATGAGTTCGGTTTGCCTTGCGAAGTCGGTACTTTGCCAGGTCTTCAATATTCTACGACTTGTTAATAAATAATTCTTTGACCGACTTGGGTTTTTCCAAGGTCCAGACGACTTGGGTTGATAACTCCCCCCAAAAATCCTTAGGGATCATCTATTGGTACCGAAGTAAGATTTCCGAGCTGCAACATGCGCTGCTTGACGTCGTCCAGAATCCAGTTTATGCATCAATCTTTCACGATTTCTTTAATTATATCTNTAGCATAGAAAATATAATTTTAATTATTAATATGCTGTACATATTTTTTACATATCTATACATATTGTATAATTTTTTCTTTATATATATAAATATAGATATTGATAATATATAATACATATATAAATATAATATATATATATATATATATATATTGATTTTTAAAAAAAATTGAGGGGATCCAGGATCCCCTGGGCCCCATGTAGCTCCGTCCTTGTTGAAAATCATGAACAATGACATGTGATAAATCCATTACTGGTTGTTCTTTTAGCCCCTGTTAATATGAAATATTTGAAATTAATTACAACAAGGTGCAGTTTATTATGAATTTCTCATCATAAATGAGAAAAAAATGTTATCCTTCAAGAAAACAGTTAGCAATATTTGTGTAAGTAATTTGGCCTCATCATATATAATACTTACGAAATATTCATATTCCATGATTTAATTATCAAAAACCTTGGCGTTTTTCTAAAAAATATGAATTTAATAAAAATATATCATAAACCAACCTTGGCCTTTCCTAAATTTATGAATGTAATAAAACTTTTTATAAGTTACTAATAAAGACAGATTTAGCAAATCTTAGGTATACCAATGACTCGTTGAAGGAGGCCAAAATCGTTGGTGTGTGCTCATTGACAAAGTATTATTTTTAGTTTGTGCAGCGAGTTCATGGTCACCGGCCACGTCTGCTGCCGTTGTGAGGGAAGGGTTTGTCAGACGCCGTCTGACCCGTCTAAAAAAAATGTGGCCAAAGCATAAATTGTTTTTCTTTTAAAAATAAGATGAAATCATATTATAATATACTGTCATTTTCTTTTATGTAGTGATTTAAATTTTTGGAAGTGTGTTTATATTTTATTGACGAAATAATTGATAATAGTTTTTAGAAAATAAAATTATATTAACTATTTTCCATTTTATTTTATTAATGTTTGTTTTAAGTGTTTTTATGTTTTATTGAGGAAATAGTTGATAATAATTAAAACTGAATGTTTTATTGAGGAAATAGTTGATAATAATTAAAACTGAAATATATAAACTAAAATCAAAATCATTAAAGCTAAGCACTCAGCTCATCTGGACTCTTTTTATATACTGGAAGCTTTTACTTACTCGCAAAATCTCTTGCCGGTCACTTTCTCTCTCTAAAAATCCACGCCCAATCGATCTCTCACTCACTCTCTCCCCATCTCAATCTCGTCATCTCCGAAGTAAAGTCGCAGTAATCAGGTATACACTTGAGCTCCATGCTTGCTAGATTTGCCTTTTTTTTTTATTGTTCTTTTTGCGGCGACAGCGTCAGTGACGTAAGCTTTGTCCGTCTCCCGATTGACCGGAAGTGATTGTGTGAATCGATCATTATTGGTGGTTCTCAATTCATGCATTTTTGTTGTGTTTCGATTCATGTTTTGCTGTGTTGTTCCCTTGATTCGTGTCACCTTGTTCGATCTGCTGGTGGGAGGGATCGAACGGCTGATTGATAGCTGGTCGCTTTCCGTTGATTATGTTTTGAGTTTTGTGTGAGTGTTCCTGCATTTTGGGGGTTCCATTTAGGGAGGAAATTTGTAATGGATTTATGCACAATTTAAGAAATTAGGGTTTTGAGGGAAATGGGTATTTTGTCAAATACTGTAATATTTACCATTCTAGTCGTTAAGTTGGTAATGAGCAATGGGTAATGATAATGCTTTGGTCGTGATGTTGGGTTTATGGTTATTGTAGAGGGTGATTAAGATATTAGCTTTTGATTTTTGTATATAACTAAGAGTTTAAGTGAGATTCTGTTTCTGACATTAGATTTATTGGCTTCTACTAGGGATGGCCACAGAAACTGCGACTCCTCAGCCGCCTCCAAGTGCTCAAGTTGTTGGGAATGCTTTTGTTGAGCAGTATTATCATATCCTTCACCACTCTCCTGAGTTGGTTCACCGATTTTACCAGGATGTGAGTGTGTTGAGCCGTCCGGATCCTAATGGCCTCATGAAGACTGTGACAACTATGAAAGTGAGTTTACTAGAAATTCGTGGAGTGTCGTTTCATACCTTAATGGCTCTTCTCTTCCTCAGATTTGTTTCCTTTTCAATTTATCGTATACCTGTTTTTCATTTGCTGATATACTGCAAGTCTTCAATTTATTGATGTACTGTAGTTTAATTTGGCTGGTACTGTAGAGGCTTCAAGTATATTATCTGGAATGAGCTCTTGTTTTGTTCTTTTATGTTGTGTGTAGGATAGATATTATGATGAAGGGGCTCTCTGATATCTGTCTGGACAAGGGCACTCCCTACCTTGGATAGATAGATAACCATACAATTGCATTGGCAGTTTGTCGTTCCGGGAAGCTTTTGTACAACTGTTTCATTTACTTGAACTTGTTGGACTTGGGATATAGAAGATAACTTTAAGTTGAACTATCAACATAGAGATTGATTCCAGATTCTTATTTAATCTCATTGCTTACATAGCTGATAGCTCACCGCTGCAAGTTTAAAATGTGATTAAAACATGTACCTGAAAGAAGATGACTGTAAAATCTAAATGTATCACAGTTATCTAACTGATTATGTCCAAAAATCTTGATGAATAGGAATATTTTGATTATTGTATATATGTATGGGTGTTTCCATTTGCACCATAAGAGATGTTTGGCTCAGGGAAAATTTGTAGGGAGATATTATTTCTTTATTTTTCTGCTTGGCAAGGTAAGTGAAGGATGGATAAATTTTTTTGCATTGCTCATTGTTAACTCTTGGCCGTTCTCATTTTTCACTTGCTCTTGCTAACTTTGTGGTTTAGGCAGGTGCATTAATATATTCCAAGGTTCTAGTTTTTATCCTTATGCGACAAGTGGTAACATTAAATATATCTTTTTTCTTATTCTACCAGAGTATAAACGACACAATATGTTCATTGGATTACAAAAATTACAAGGCTGAGATAAAGACCGCGGATGCACAAGATTCTTATAAAGATGGAGTGGTGGTGCAAGTAACTGGCTGCTTGACTGGACCCGACAACCTGAAAAAGAAATTCTTACAGACTTTTTTCCTCGCTCCTCAGGACAAAGGCTATTACGTGTTAAACGACATTTTCCGTTATGTAGAAGAGAGAGAACCAGAAATCAGCATGTCGGTAGTTACTGGAGTTGATGTAACACCGTCTGGTTCTGCTATCCAAGATCCGGGTACGTCTTGTCATTGTTTTTTCGCCCAACGCCTATGGTTTTGAGGATTATTCATTTATTTCTTTGCTTTTCTTTTCAGAACCCACTCAAGTGGCTGATTCCCCAAAAGCTAATCATGCAACTTCTCAAGTGGAGGAAGCTGACATAATTGAGGAAAAAATCAGTGACGAAGTGATTGAAGAGAGACAAGTCGGTGATAATCATACGGATGTCTTGATAGAAGCTGACTCCCATATTAATGAGAATCATGTAATTGAGGTTGCAGATGCAGTTACTTCTTCATCGCAGGAGGATACTCCAAAGAAATCGTATGCTTCAATTGTTAGCTCAGCGACCAAGAAGGGTCCAACCAAAATTTATGTTCCTACTAACACAGCTAAATTAGCTCAGGCGAAAGCCGAGAAGCAGCCACTCAACCCAGCTGCAGGGGAATCACTTCCTGAATCAACTTCTCATGTTGTACCTGATGATGTACAAGAAAGTAAAGATGTCCAGGATGAAGGTATTTTGTCCAACAGTTATTTGTCTTACCCATGTGTTTATGGTCAAGCACCACAAACTTCTATATTTATGATAAGGTAAAAGAATGTTTCAGAAAAAGAAGTAATAATACTAAATTATGAATCAGCAAAAACTTTGACTAGATGTGATGATAGTTGAATATCTGCAAGTTCTTTTCATTCTTGAGCTAACTCTTCTGTTCTGATTATTTTTCTTTTTTGCCTATTTCATACAGTTCAGGGTCACTCCATATACATCCGCAATTTGCCTCTAAATTTTACAGTTGCACAGCTTGAATCTGAATTTCAGAAATTTGGAACTATTAAGCCAAATGGGGTCCAAGTCAGAAGTAACTGGGTTGGTTTTAGCACAGCTTGTTTAGTATGATGATCAATTTGCTGATTTCCTGTTGATACTTAAACCATAACCGCTTTGCTTTTCAGGAACAGAGATTCTGTTTCGGGTTTGTTGAGTTCCTGGAGCTTAGCGCCATGCAAAATGCCATTAAGGTTTGAGATCTTTAGATTCTGCTTTTTCCCTTTTGTTTTATTATCATTGTTTCTTTTGTAGTCAAACATAGCGAGTTACCTCCTCGAACTTACACTTTCAAACATTCCTCATTTTAGCAATTAGATCCTTAAGACACTTGTGGTGCAATAGATCTAAATTGCCGTGTGATTGGGTTTTGGCCTTTTTCCTCATCAGAAATGAAAACCTTGTTTTCTGGTAATATATATCTGAGTTCAGTATGAATCTGTCATTTCAAGATTTTGCTTATGCCTGACCACTGTTTTCTAAGCAGCCTGATAAAAGCAGCACGACAAGGTGCTGTTGAGTGGATTTTCCGAGTGGATTTTCTAATTATTGTACTACATACCATGTTGTCCTAGGTTATGTTAAAACAGTTTGTTTGTTTTTTTGTTTTTTGTTTTTTTTTGTTCTCTTCAGGCTTCTCCTATAACTATCGGAGACCGTCAAGCTACTGTCGAGATCAAGAGAACCACCACTCGAGGTGAGGCACTAGCATCAACTACTCATCATTTTTCTTTTTTTCCCAATTTCTTGGTTAAGAAAATTGAAAACACAGAAAACTTGAATATCACCAAGAACATTATACATTACATGCACTTATAAATTCGTATCTCGATCATTCATTTGTTATATGATATATCGGTCATTGTTTCTCTACAGTTGGCGGTGGGAGGGGTAGATTTGTTCCTCAACGGGGAGGGTTTCGTAACGACAACTTCAGAGGCCGGGGAAACTTCACCACTGCTCGGGTTTACGGTAGAAATGGAGACTTCAGGGGTCGTGGCAACTTTAATAGTGGAGGAGAAGGTGGTTATCATCAAGGCAGAGGGAGGGGTAATCGACGTCCGATTTCGAACCAGAATTCATCTTTAACTTGAAAAAGGTTGGGAGTTTCAGAGCTTTGTGGGGTCCAATTTTGATTTAGGTTTTAATTGCTGTTCACATCATCTACTTGATCCTTTTTCTGTTCTTCAATCCTTAATGAGTTTTTTAAACTGGGGGGTTGCCTCACGTTTAGTTGGTGTATGAGATGGTTAATTCATTCCTTAAAACAGTTTTTGTTTCGTTAATTTTATGCATAGAGGGATGTAACTTGCAATAGCTAAACAAAGTGTGGTTTTTGGAGGAAGTATGGATTATATATTTAATCGGTTTATAAAATGTCGATAGTGGTTAGCGAGGTTTTGGTATTTTCTCGAAGAAGCAAAGCTTCACAACTAGATTTTTGTTTCTTCCTTGAAAAATGACACATGTTGTAAATGAGCAGTTTCGTAACAAATTCCTACCATACATCAACTATTGTAGCTATTGTGATAGTCACGGCTGCATTTCCTTGGTTTTCCAGAAAACCGAAATCCGAGTTTAGATGATCCTTGGTGGGAAATACCAAAACCTGATACGAGAGAAAAATGTGATCAAAATCATCCTGAATTGTGCAATTTGGTGCAAACTGATCAAAATCGACCTGCATTGTGCAATTTGGTGTGGTTTGCTTCGTTAATTTTCTAAAGAAAAATATTACTTTAGTCTTTTTTTATGTTTTTTAGTTCAGTTTTTTATGTGTTTGGTGCAGTTTAGTTAAGTACTTTTTCACAAGTTTGATTTTCAATTATGCAATTTGGTACAATTCAGTTAATTTTCGACAAATTCAAACAAATTCCCTTGAAAAATGAATTTACCCAAGAGCATCAGCAGTAACAGCAAGGTGAAAAGACTGGCTACTACTACTAATAATGATACACACATTTCGGGTGACTTATTCACATATTTACAATTATCCATTTATCCTAATTAAGATACTATAGTTTAATGTTTTCGTCAATACTTTTTCTTTCATACGTATAATATATAAAGCCACCAAATATTTCCTAAATCAGTAACATACCAACCAAATATTATTCTCCCTGCGCATGGTTATTTTCACCCAGACTGTATGTAATAATGTAAAGGAAAAATAACATAAAAATAACATAAATAAATCTTGGAAACAATGAAATAAGGGGCACACGGCAAACAACTCGTGCTGAGTCGAGCACTGTCCTTATTGAAATCGACTCGATTTTTCAATAGTGCTTTTGACTCGACTTGATAAATTTTATTAATTTGACTTTCTCTTGAGTTCAACCCAAATTTTAAATAAAAAATTCGATCAAAACTAAAATTCTTTCTTAGGTTTGACTTAAATTCTGCTCGAATTTAACTCGAATGAGAAGTATTTTAGATAAATTATAAATATACTCGATCGACTTGTTAGAAATATTTATTGGGCAAGATATGTACATTAAATGTGTATAGTTGTCATAATATTATTCAATTAAAGTGATCTATTAATTTGTAATTTTGAATAAAGAGAGTATCAAATTATTATGGATTTAAAGTGTAGATACCATTATGGGATTTTCTGTTTGTTGAGGGACCGAACTGAAAATCATATAATTCTTATTTATTTGGTTATGGCCCCAAAACGACGAAAAGGTACGAGCAGATTTTGGAAGATGTGCTTTCTCCCTTTAAAAGCACCCATCTTTACTTCAGAAAAATATATGAGAAACATATGGAAATACATAAAGATATATTCCAATACAAACTCTACGGATAAAAATCTGGTATATGGTTTCGATCGTTTGAAAGACCATACCAGTCCAACAAGATCGTTTGGAAGAATACAACACTCTAGCAAACTGAAAAATACGAGAATTCTCAAAATTATGAATTCAGGTACGCTTCCGCTATTCGGTTTGATTCTTAATTATTCGATATGAAAGCTCCTGGGATAAAGTGAAGTTTGTTTTGCATAAGGTTAAAAATTCCAACAAGTGGTACTAAAGCCTCTTCATATTGGATTTTGGAGAATCAATTTATTTTCATCCGTATGACAATTTATTTATGCGGATTGATCTGATTGCTGTTTCGGATTCATGAATATTGAGGGTCAATGGATTCAGTTCTGATTTATTTCCTGTTCTTGCATACATGTATGAAATGGAATTTATGGGATCCAAATTAAATATTTTCGGATCTGACAGTATATTTTTGTTTTAGCATGTGTTGACTTGAATTCAGGTATGAATCATGAAATCCAAATTCAGTTCCACTTTTGATTGGTTAATAGATGCTTCTATTATTTGGGTGGATAATTATTATCACTCTATTTCCTAATTCCTCTTGGATCACATTGAGTGTTATTTGGATGCAACAGATGCATTGTATAATGCATATTAAATTTGGATCTTTATAATCCTTTTGAATTTGAGAAATTGAATACAGACTTTAGCAATTCTAATATGGATTCTGTTAAGTTTTATTGACTCATTAGGCATAGACCTAATGTTACTCTAGCTTAATGATTTTGGTCATGTTTTTTCATTGGTTTATTTGAAAATGGAACATGATTTATTTGTTCTCAAATTTGAGAATGGTTTCATGAATTTTATTATGTTTTCATGGTTTTTTTGGTGTAAAAAGATGCATTCCAAGCCATGGTTTNAGCCTGCTCACAACCATTCAACTAATCTAATTTTGTCTTCTTATGAGTACAAGTCTTTTCAATTATATGCGTTTTTTACTAATTAATTATATTATTAATTAGTTATTAAGAATTCACTTTGGTTATTGAAACAAGAAGTTAATTATTAAGTTTTTTTTAATTCAGTTAATTATTTATTTATTGGTTGTGCAAATATGGTAAACTGATTTAATGATTGCACATACATAAATAAATATTTCAATCATTTCGTTTAAATTTCTTTCGTACATCTCGTGTTCCTATTGAATTTTGTCTAATATTCAAGATGAGTTTATTGAAACAAGAAGTTACAAAAGTGACCTCTCTTGTGTAGATTTATTTGTCGAGAATTTTAGATGTTTGTATCTGTATATTTTCATGCGATTGTTTAATCGGCCCAAAGGAACATTAACACTTGGCAGGAATATATATACTTGTGGTGGTAAATATGTGACAATATATAGTTATATCCATGTGAATAATATGTCTTTCAAAAGAAAGACTATTGTTTGACAGGAATTTTGTCAATATTTGATTACTACACAAAGGTGACCACTTACAAATTACTATTACTGTCCAAAGACTTGATATTGATGTTGTGCTAGGTGCTTTGAGATGTTACTAAACTTATTTAAATTTTTATGGTTGATGTGAGCTTGTTGATTAATTTATTATTATTCTCTGTTAAGTTATGACATCTTGTACATCTATCTCTGCTGATACCAACAACATTCTTAAACTTAAGGGTTTCAAAATTTTTATCCCGCTCAAAATCTATATTTGAAATGAGAAAATGCAGTATATTTGAGGATGTTGTGTTTGGGGGGCAGAAATAAGGCTAAGGACATTATCTTTGAGAAGAATCATTTCCGATTTCTATTACTGCTTCTGACTATGTGAAGGTCTCTATTCCTGTAATTAGTCGAGAAGTAGATTTGGAACTTCAATAGGATAATGTCAAGAATCTCTCAACTCAAACTGGCTCGGTTATTCAAGATAAGCAAACTCAACAACCTCAATAACTTATGCCATTAAGGAGATCCATTTGAGATTAAAAAAAAATGCCATTTCGGATGATTATGATTTCTTCAAGAAAGAAAATATAAAGTATAAGTCGATGCAAGACAATAAAGTTTGGGATCTTGTCCCATGACCTTCAGGTGCGAAACTCATTGGTTACAAATGGTTATTTAAAACTAAAAGGGATTCGAAGGGTAATGTGGAAAGATATAAAGCTCGTCTTGTAGCAAATGACTATTCAAAATAAAGTCATTGATTATGAATATGAAGAGACTTTCTCTCAGGTTTCTTTGAAAGACTCTTTTAGGATACTTATGGCATTAGTAGCACATTTTTATCTTGAGTTACATAAGATGGATATAAAGACGGTTTTTTCTCAATGGTGGCATTGATGGAATGATCCATATGGTACAACCAGAAAGCTTTGAGGTCGAAGACCCGAAGAAAATGGTTTGTAAACTAAAGAAATCCATCTTGGACTCAAACAGGCATCTCGTCAGTGGTACCATAAATTTCATCAGGTAGTAATCTGATTTGGTTTTGAGAGGAAAGCTGTTGATAATTGTGTGTATCATAAATTCAGTGGGAGTTTGATGTATGCTCGGGTCTTTACAAGACTATATATATCGTTTATTGTTGGTATAGTAGATAGATATTTAAGTAAATCTGGTATAGATCATTGGAAAGCAGCCAAACGGGTCATAAGATACTTACAGAGAACTAAGGATTACATGCTCACTTATAGAAAATCAGATCATATGGAGATCATCGGGTATATTGATTCTGATTTTGGTGGACGTCAGGACAACTGATTTTGTAGTTTGTTATGAGACATCCAATAACGGAATATAGTTGCAAAATGTCACTGGGCTGCAAATTATTGAGAACGTAGAAAGACCACTAAAGTTGTATTGTGACAACAATTCAACAGTACTATATTCCAGTAACAATAGGAACTTAACTAAGTCAAAGCATATTGACATCAAGTTCCTAATTATAAAATAAAGAATATAGAGTGGACAATTTGCTATAGAATATATAAAGACAGACTCATTGATTGCGGATCCGCTTACTAAAGGTCTAATACCCAAGGTCTTTCATGAACATACTGTTCGAATGGGTGTGACACAATTTTAAGATATTTGGTTTTAGTGGGAGTCTGGATTAATTGTTCTATAGACATATTATATATGTGTGTTTGGATATTTCTGATCATATATAAAGTATTCAGTTTATTATACTCTGTAACTTTGGTTTTATATTGATCTCACTGTGGAATAAAGTGGCCAGTTGAAAATAGGCATGTAAGATCACATTACATGTAATTTCATGCTACACTTCCATGATTGATCTATATCATTTGATTGTATTGATATGTGTGATTATTGATTCATGCTAAAAATGATGAAGGCCTCTTTAGTCCTATGTCATACTATTAATGGACGAGATTGGTAAAAAGTACTCTTGTTTGTGACAACAAAGTTTGTGCTCATAAAGTAGTACACATTTGTTCGGTTTCATATGTAGTCTAAGTGGGAGATTGTTAGAAATATTTATTGGACAACATATGTAAATTAAATGTGTATAGTTGTCATAATATTATTCAATTAAAGTGATCTATTAATTTGTAATTTTGAATAAAGAGAGTATCAAATTATTATGGATTTAAAGTGTAGATACCATTATGGGATTTTCTGTTTGTTAAAGGACCGAACTGAAAATCATATAATTCTTATTTATTTGGTTATAGTCCCAAA